GTCCATCATCACCAGCTAGAGAGGGGGGTGTTATCCATCATCATTCGCTAGAGATGGGGGTTGGTGTCCATCATCATCCGCTAGAGGGGGGGTGGTATCCATCGTCAGCTAACGAGGGGGGGGTGCTATCCATCGTCACCAGCTTGAGAGGCGGGGGGGGGCTATCCATCGTCATCAGCTAGAGAGGATAAAAAGAACGTTGAAAATGAATCTGTAGGGTACCGGGGGTGTCACAGAACTCACAGAACTATTCTGTATTGTGCGAGGGTGCCACAGAACCTCACAGAAATATTCTGTATTGTACGAGGGTGCTCCAGAACCCACAGAACTATTCTGTAGGGTAATTACAGAGGGTAATTACCCCCGGTACTGGTCTGTGAGTACCCTCCAGAACACACGGCTGCTGCTGCTGACTGTTTTTTTTACGGGACGCTTCCGCCACCGCTTTAGATAACAGCAACAGCAGCAGCAGCANATATTCTGTATTGTACGAGGGTGCTCCAGAACCCACAGAACTATTCTGTAGGGTAATTACAGAGGGTAATTACCCCCGGTACTGGTCTGTGAGTACCCTCCAGAACACACGGCTGCTGCTGCTGACTGTTTTTTTTACGGGACGCTTCCGCCACCGCTTTAGATAACAGCAACAGCAGCAGCAGCAGAGGCGACACACCCTCTCGCCCACAATGAGTGTAGAGAGGTGCACAGCACAGCAGTGGTACTACATCGTCTAGGAACGAGCGTGATGTGTTACTGGTCCCGTGCTGTGATGTATGTGTGCCTCTCTCCAGAGCAGAGTCAGAGGCCGCTCCCTCCCGCCGCGTCGCAACACAATAACAACAACCAACCGATGGACCCACAGAGACCCAATCAATATCTCTCCTCTCGCTTCCTCCGCAAAAAGCTAGCAGCAGCAGTAGTGTAGGGCATACCCTGCTCCCGTCCTGCTCTCGCTGTGTGGTGTGTGCAACACACGCTGGTTGGTGGGACTCCCTCTCTCTCCAGAGAATAGGCGAAAAGGCCGGCAGCGTTGAACAACAACGACCAACGGAAACAACAACAACAACAATCATCAGCGATGAACTCCAGAACAACCAAACGTTCCCCGCTTCCTCTGCCGTCGCTAACAGCAGTATATGTGTGTGTCTCGCCCCCCTTGTCCATGTTCCCTGTCTCTGTGTAGTGCGTGTCTTGCCAGTAGCAGCAGCAGTGTGTGCAGCACGGCAGTGCGTCGAGGTTTCTTGCGTGCGTGTTGTAGTTTGTAGCCCAAAAAACAAAAATGACGCCTCCCGGCCGAGAAGACGGGGATGCGTCCATGTGACATATATATTTGCACAAAAGGTGTGCTATCTCGAGACACCGACCACGGATTGCAAAGGTAGCGGTTGGGACAGCTCGGGCAAAATGTTACTTGTTGTGCGCAAGTTTTAGTTTGCAATTTGGTGCCGAGATGGTGAAATGGGCTCGAGTCTGCTGGGTATTTAGGGCGCGAAGACAGATAGACAGACATTAGACAGCCATTGCAAAACTTTCGCGCCCCTGGGCATGACTAGAGTTGGAGGTGGAATAGGTTCTTGTGGTGGTTGCACAAACGTACCTGCAGCAGGCTCGTGCGTCTGTTTATTGGCTGGCTCGTGTGATTTTCTCGTCGTACAGAAGAACGGTGGCCGGTCCATCATCACCAGCTAGAGAGGGGGGTGATATCGATCATCATTCGCTATAGGCGGGGGTGGTGTCCATCATCAGCTAGCGAGGGGGGTGGTATCCATCGTCAGCCGTGAGGGG